AGAGCGAGATTTGAAAAACTTACAGAGTTTGAACGAGGGAGAATCATCGGCCTTCGTGAAGCTGGATTGTCGTATCGTGCAGTAGCCTCTTGTGTGCAGCGTAACAGCAGCACAGTGATGCGCGTTTGGAAGCAGTGGACGGACGAGTGTCGGACAACTCGGAAATCCGGGAGTGGACCCCGAAATGTGACGTCAGCTCGCGATGATAGACACCTGGTCCGCATGGCGCGGACGGACCGTACAGCTTCCTCTAGACAATTGGCAGTACTGTGGTCAATAGCTACAGGTGTTTCATTGTGTGCTTCATCAATTCGTAGATGTCTGCTGCAGTGTGGACTGCGCGCACGGACTCCTTTATACAGGATCCGCCTAACGCACGACCATCGCCGCCTGCGGCTACAATAGGCCAATCAGCATAGAGACTGGCGTGCTGATTGGCAGCATGTCGTGTTTTCTGACGAATCCCGCTTTAATTTGTGGTACCATGATGGCCGCATTCGTGTCAGACGCTATGCCGGTGAACGCCACCTTCCGGAGTGCATTATCGAACGCCACAGTGGACAAACACCCGGAGTTATGGTCTGGGGCGCCATAGCATATCATAGACGATCTCAATTGCTACACGATTGTGGGCAATCTGAACAGCAACCGGTTATATCCGTGAAGTTCTACAGCCCGAAGCTTGTTCCCTTCCTTCAAAGCTTGCCAGGCGCTGCATTTCAACAGGACAATGCCCCGCCTCATACTGCTCGGATTTGTTAAATCCTTTGCAGCGCAGCAGGTACAAGCTTTCTTCCTTGGCCTGCGTGTTCCCCGGATATGTCGCCAATTGAACATGTGTGGGATGTCATTGGTCGGCGTCTTGCTCGTGATCCTCGTCCTGTTGCGTCTGCAGACGAACTTTGGGTACGCGTACAAACGATATGGAATGCTCTTCCTCAGTCAGACATTCAAACTTTGTTTGACTCCATGCCACGTCGTGTAGCAGCACTTATTGCGGCGCGTGGTGGCCACACAAAATACTGATTCTGATCTCTTGTTCTTGTTTCTTTGCTTTGAACATTTAATCATTTATTTGTACCACTACCACTCAACTGTGTATTAAATTGCATTCAATTATGACGATTCCTTCTTGGTGTTGCAATTTTCACAAACGTGAGTGTATGTTTTTCAATTTCACGCTGCTCTGCAACAGGGTAGGGACACGGCGCACAATGAACTGGAAGTTGATCTGTCAGCACTATCCTTATCTTCAGAGCAGATGTTTTTATTTTATTCGGCTTATAATTCCTTACTAAATACAGTATTTTATCTCGATGTACTCCGTCTTCGATATGATTTAAATCAAATTCCTCATCATTATAAATATCATGAATACGCATCAAATAGTTTTCTAGTTCAATTTTCTAATTTCGACTACGCGTAATGTATGCTTTACGCATGTGCGCGTTGAAAGAAATGTTTAACAAAGTAAACAAATAAATATTAAGTTTTTTTTTTAATTTTGATACCCTTTAGATCATAATTGCTCTTTATTTCAGAAATTATGGTTTCATATTTTTAATTTTATAATTTCTGCATGCCATCTTACCAGATTTAAACTGATGATCTATAATGCGGAATCGCCGAAGTCCAGACGAGTCAGGATTAAAGACTTTTGACTGTACCATGTTTAACAAACTGAATTTTATTTATGTATGCTTATTATATACATTTCCTCCTAGCTTTAATTCATATAAAATAGGTAGCATGTTTAACTGGCTCAATTTTACTTACATACATTTAATATCATGCTTTTTTGCTAACATTATGCTTCATATCATATTTTTCCCTGCTTAAACCTAAATTTAACTTGCATATGTTTAACAGCAAGCTATTTCACCTAACTTCAATTCATACATGCTAAACATCAAGTATTTTTTGTTACCTTAATCTTAATATCATGTTTCAAACCAACGCCAATCAGCCATTGGAGAGCCTGGCAAGTTAAAAGTGTACTATCACCAATCAATTCTCTGCAGTAGTAAATCCAAATTTACTTTTAAATTTAAGCCATAACAATAAAAAAAGGTTCATAATAAATCTGTACATAGTGATAAATAACTACTGCACTTAAATCTTCCCCAAAATTATATTCAAGGATCCTCAGTTAACCTTGATAATTCTATACTTTAGATAACTAAGTTACTACAGTACAAGTCTTTAATCTGGACCTCAAAGCTACAAACTTTCTGTGCATGTGTACATGCATAACGCGTATACGCATGCGCATAATACATTTATGCATGCGCATTTAATGTATAATGGACGGTATAAGCTAGGCTAAAATTATCTATTTCAGTTATGTTGCAGATTGCGTTGTTCCTTAATCTTCTAATTGGATCCGGCTTATTATTTATTGCAGACTGCTAAAGCAATTTTAGAAAAAGTAAGTTTGAACTTTCAATTATGTCAAAAAAGAGTTTCCGATTCTGGAGCTGCCAAAGTATCTACAAAGCAAAAGCATGTTTGGATGTCATCAAACAAAAAGTGAAATTGCTGCAAAAAATGAATAAAGGCATATCCTTTGTTTCTCTAACCATTCCGAAACCTGTTTATCAATTTCACGCTGCTCTGCGCGGGGAAGGACGTCGCGGCGCGCAATGAACTGGAAGTTGATCTGTCAGCACTATCGTTATCTTCAGGGCAAATGTTTTTATTTTATTCGGCTTATAATTCCTTACTAAATGTAGTATTTCATCTCGATGTACTCCGTCTTTGATATGATTTAAATCAAATTCCTTGTCATTATAAATATTACGAATACACGTCAAATAGTTTTCTGGTTGCAATTTTCTAATTTCAACTATGCGTAATGTATGTGCACATTGAAAGAAATGTTTAATTAAGTAAATACATATTAAACTTTTTTTTTTTGTAAATTTTGATACCCTTTAGATCATAATTGCTCTTTACTTCATAAATTACAGTTTCATATTTTTAATTTTATAATTTCTGCATGCCATCTTACCAGATTTAAATTGATGATCTATAATCCAGAAAAACCCCTAATCTGGAATCGCCTAAGTCCCATCGAGTCCGGATTAAAGACTTTGTACTGTACCTTCAAACTTATAATTTATATTTCAGGAACTAATTTTTTAATCGTTTTCCCCCCTTTCTTATTTTACATATATTAACACAGAGACTAACGGGAGGGAACTAAATTTCAAGTATCTTGTATGTGGTTTTACAAAATTGTGTTTTAAAATGTTTAAAGACATACATGCTAAAGAAAAGTACCTATTTTTTTATATAGTTATTTATAACTATATTAAAAAAAACTGGTACTTTTCTGTTATGCATTTGCCACACATCTGTAGGTACTCATCTCTTTATCAGGAGCATATTCAGAAATGTATGTATGCACTTGTGTATGGATCTATGTGCTTATGCTTATCTTATGCGTCTATACACTTACTTACGTACTTAAATGCATACATTTCTGACTTCAGTTCTGATAACAGAAGAGTACCAATCTGTGAATCTTGGTACACTTTTCTATTATGCACCTACCAGACATTTGTGGGTATGTGTGAATCGGCAAATGGTTTGTTTCTCACACAGCACTATCCTTAGATTTTGGTGTGCATGTTAGGCTTCTCTTTCACAGGCGCCCAAAAAGCATTGCAGGTGCACAACAGATAATTACTAAAAAATTAGCTGCCATTAATATAACAATACTAGAAAAAAAAAATAAAAAGATGTATATCGCAGTTCTTTAAAATAGCTAACTTTTAAAGGACAAATTAAATTTCAAGCCTCCAGCTTAGAACTGACGAAACATTAATGAGTTATTTAAAAATAATTCCATTCAAATACACTTCTACCTCATAATTTGTGACTTTGTTTTCAATTATACTAAATTACTTTTGAATAAAATTAAATGTATCAGAAAATACACTGCCAATTCTTACAAATATATACATATATTGTTTTATTTATTAAATATACAGTTATTTGCACTAATTTGTTGTAAATACCTAACATAACATTGTTACAATACAAGAACATACATAATAAATTTAATTTGGTTGACTTCCTATGAACAAAATAAGAGTCATTACTCATAACTTACAAATACACCAACTGTGGTATTATATTTAACACATATTTCATAGAGATATTGAAATGTGATGGAATAATGTGAAGACTATTACATTGTAACTTCAACTGACATCAGCAGAGTTAATAAACAATATTTATTTAATATAATTTAGGAAATACAAAAGTAAAATTTTTCATTAATATTAAACAACTTATACGCGAAATATTTCTTGGGTTCTAAAGTAAGTAAAACTATGATCACAAGGCACACAAGTGAAACACCATGCTTTAAAAAACAGAAACATATTAAAATTGCTTTTTTTCAATATGTATAAGAAAAATTTAGTGAACTGAAATTCAAGCAGAAGCAACAGAATATGTAATCGTTAGGAAGAATCTAAAACTTCCATATGCTTAAGTATATACCAGATTTCAATCCAACTTCACACATACATACTACTGGGGGGAAAAAATTCAAACGTTTAGTGAAAATTTTCTACATAAAACGAGAAAATATTATATAACTGAAAACAAGTCAATCAAAAATCTGGTTTAAAAAAAATTGTTTTGCGTATAACTTTAAATATAATAGCTACAAAATGTCCTGGAGCAGAAAACTGACAATAAATTCACATTCAAATAGTTCGCAAACTACAGAACTCAGACTTCAAATATAATTAATAGTAGCGTTTAGTTAGCTTTAACGAGATGCTGTTTTTCAAATTAATAATAAAAATTAAACAAATAGCTACAAGTTTTAAGCATACATCTTAAACCTTTTCCATAGCAAAATCGACAGAAAATATTACAACAAAAAATACAGCGTGATAAGAAAATATTAATATCACACTGCATTTAAAAATAACATTTCACTTGATGAAACAGAAAAAAATTTATAAAAATTAATATTACACCTCTTAAATCTCTTTACACTTCACTCCGATAAATGCGTCAAACGACAAAATCGAAACTCAGTCTTGCAGTTGCCAATCCGAACCAGAAATTTATACAATCAAATTAATGAAAATCAATAAAGAAATTTTAAAAACTATCGATTCTATCTATTTTACTTATACAAAGCCTTATATTGCAGATAAAATTTTTGATTACGAACTCTAATTTTCACAATAATTTTGACAGTCTGACTGATCTTTAAGACTTAGATCTTTAGGACTTGAAGACTGGTGTTCTTTATTAATTAAATCCGACTTTTTATTTTATCTTATCAGCTTTAATTTTACCAACTTTTTATTATTATCTTTATCAGTTCGGCTTCCAAATCATATCACAGAATTCGAGCTCTATTACTACTAAGAACGAATTAGAGTTTCAGGAAGCAAAGCTTCTTTTTACTGTGCATCTGGTGAAGACCATCAGTTAAACAAGATGAGTAGTGTTGACAAAATAAGAGAAGTATTAAGCAAGGTTCCTAAAATATCCTAAACGTTTGTGCATTCGGGTAGTTCAGCAGTCATTGGCTGCCTGCATGCAAGGTCCGTAGAAAGAACAGGTTAGCTCACTTGGAGTAAACAAACGAAAAGCCAGCGACTCGTTCGGCTGTGACGTCACTGAAGTTCACTGTAGCATCTCCTAATAGTAGTTTCGTATTTCCTTTTGAAATATTTTCTGTTTTTCATCGGAAAAGTAAAAATTCTAATATTTGGAGTTGAAACTTAACTACCTAAAATATTGTTTACTGTATAGAATAAGTTTTAATTACGAAAAGTTCCCCTCAGTAATTTCTTGTTTCACCAAAAATCTTCCAAACTTTCCTTACAGAATTTGCTATTCAAGATTCAGCTGTTTATACCGTTACTCATTTTAGCTTCAATAGACTGCAAAACCCACATTTCACAAGAAACTGGAAAAATATGTTGTGTAGTCAGAGCTTAAATTGTGCCGGCTCCGGTACTTTTCAGTTTATGGGATAAATGATAATTCTAGACGGAACGCATCGGAACCCTACATAAGAAGGCTCCGGAACGGAACTACAATTTCAGTAGAAATTTAATCTCAAAAATTTTATTTTTAGCAGCAATAAAATTATATTAAAATCCCTTATTAAATGTTAATTTACCTCTTTACATTTTATTGAATTATTTTAATAAATAATAATCAATTATAAATTAATGGTTAGATAATAATTAATAAATATTAATTGCTAATATTAATTAAATAATTATTTATTAATTTGATAATAATTAACTATTTACTTAATTTTTAAATGATAAATGATTTTAATAGTCATTTTATTTATTTATTTACTCTTGTTCCTCTTTACTATAAATACTTACTCTTTTCCATAGGGTTCCGGCGCTTCTAGTTTTAGAAATTAAGCCCTGAGTGTAGCGATATAGAAGAAATTCAAATTAAGAGTATTTATTCTATAAAGGTGTACAAACTTGTCCCTAATGTTTGAGATCTAATTTGGCTGAAATTTAAATTAATTTTTTGCTAAAGCCTACTTTCGGTCCAATTGTTTCTGCAGTACTTGTTTCATTTAGAAATCTTAGTTTACTTGTGGCTTTTTTTTTTTTTTTTTTTCAAATGAACTCGCATAAGCTTTTTCTGTATAATATATGATTAATTTTAATAGATTTAAAAAAAGAAATTGCATAAAATTATAAGTGGCTAGATAATAAAACTTGTTTGTAATTTCTTGATGTAAAGCAGCAACAAGAAACATAAACAAATGAACTATTCAAGCTGTAACTGAAAGGAAGTGTAATACTTAATCAGCAGACTCTTTAAAATCAGCAGCTGCATTATGTAATTCTATATAAAAATTGAGACTTAATTTTAATTTAAATCTTAATTCTTTGAATCCTTTGAATTTTACTTTTTAGGAAAAATAAAAAATAAAAATTTCCAATAAGTATTCAGATAGAAGATGTTAACTTTTTTATCTAAAATAATGAGTAAAAGATATTAAAAGAATAGTTGCATATCCTCTATTATGTTTTGTTACTAATATTGTATATTTAGAATTTTATCTTTTAGGTTTCTATATTTATTTCACTTATGTATTGTTTAATTTATAAAAATAATAACGAAATGAAACATGTAGTCATTTTCTGGATTGTCATCCTCATTTTTTTATTTCAGACAAGTAAATCCTAGATATTAATAGGTGGTGTGGTGTGTGTGATTATGGCAAAGCCTCGAGGGCTATGCGCCTGAAGGGCGGGATGCCTTCGTGGAGGACTTTCTAAGGGAAACTGGCTTGTATACACGTCACACATGGGGAAAACCACGAAAACGCCCATGCAGCCAGCCCGTTCGCGGTATTCGAACCTCGGACCGAACTACCTCGGACCGAACTTCAGCGACTTTACTGCTCGGCGGCTGGTGAGCAGATATTAATAGGACTGAATGCTGTATGTGTTTGTTTTGGTATCAAAAAAGAAATATGTTTATATAATAATTTAAATATTACATTTCATTTAGCATATTCAGTTTAACCATTCTATGAAAATAAAAAAAAATAGAGTTATCAGTTTAGTTGTGGTAAAATATTATTCATACACAGATAAATGCACTCATAAAAACATTATGCAGTTTATTTTAACGTCATTTGACTGTCATCGTACTTTCTGTGAACACATGGAAAAAGGGTGGATGTTTATTTAATATGATTACCTGTGCACAGACATAATGATTACATTCGTAGATACTAGCAAAATATAATTCTGCAGGTAAATTTATATAATTAAATGCAAAAGTCAAAATTGGTACTAAATTTTAAACACTATATTCAACAAAATCTTAGTAAATATGGATCTTAATATTATAAATAAAATTTTGTATGAAATATACCATGGTGCACTGTATAGTAATGGAATGCAAATTTTAAAACTATAATAAATAAAACATTTGCTCAAGTTATATTATTCATTCATAATACATACATATCGTATTTTATTCTCGAGTGTCAAGATGTAGGAACATCTTTTTACTCGACTTCTGATTAGGATCGGGTGGAATCATAACAAATTATAAGTACAGTCGGTCACAAAAGAATTTGAACACCGGTACCCATTCAGAAAATTTACTTTTCCGTTGAGAAACAAAATGGTGGCTCGTGTCAATCTTGGTTCGATCAGAACACCAAAGGATGGCTGACGTCCATCCTGGCTAGGTGTCGAGAGAAAAAAAAACACGAGCTATCTAGGTGAGCTGGGAAACAACATACAGCTGCTCCAGCGATCCAGGTTTGCGAGCAGAGAAAAACGCAAACGGTGGCTGCGGCTCGACTTGGTTGGCGAAGAGCGAAAAAACAAAAGGGTCTCAAGAGTCTATCTCAGTTGGATGGGGAAAACAAAAGGATGGTTCATGTCAAATTCGGCTAGGTGTCGGAAAAAATGCAACACGACCTATCTAAGTGAGCTGGGAAACAAAATGGCTGCTCAAGTGATCGAGGTTTGCGTGCAGAGGAAAAATAAAAAAAAAAACGGTCGCTACGCCCCGTCTCGGTTCGCGAAGAGAGAAAGAACAGAATCGTCTCACTCATCCATTTAGTTGGATGGGAAAAACAAAAGGATGGCTCACGTCAAATTTGTCTAGGGGTAGGAAAAAAATACAACACGACCTATCTGAGTGAGCTGAGAAACAAAATGGTAGATCAAGTGATCAAGGTTTAAGAGCAGAGGTAAAAAAACAAACGGTCGCTACGCCCCATCTCGGTTTGCGAAGAGAGAAAGAACACAATGGTCTCACTCATTCATCTTAGTTCGATGGATAAATAAAAGGGTGGCTCACGTAAAATTTGTCTAGGTGTAGGAAAAAAAAATACAACATGACCTATCTGGGTGAGACGCGATACAAAATGACTGATCAAACGATCCAGGTTTGCGTGCAGAGAAAAAAAAAACCAAACGGTCGTTGCGTCCCATCTTGGCTCGCGTAGAGAGAAAGAACACGACGGTCTCTTCAGAAAGTCCTCATTGGATGAGAAACAAAATAGCTGCTCCCACCGTCAGGGTTTGAGATGAGAAATAAAAGGGTGGTTCTCAAACTATCGAGGTTTAAGAGCACGAAATGGTTCGAGTTCAATGAGCTTTCGTGAGACTAGAAAAATAGTTTAGCTTATTCGTCAAAATGTCCCGTTTATTACATCTTACACTTCTTTGACAAATTGCTTCGAAATATGAAAAAGAAACTATCCAGCTCGTGTAAAGTTCAGAAATGGCAAAACATTCCCAAAGAATTCCTTTTCTTGAGAAAGCATATCCTGTGTCCAGATGAGGTAGAGGTAGAGAGAAAAGCATGCTGCATCTTCGAGAGCCAGCACTGTTCTGAACAGAAACGTGGAATGTTTTGTTAGATAAGCGAGGAAGTGAAAGTAAAAAAACCAAATCGTCTTGGCTGTCGAGTGGGAAAGAATTCTCAGAGCTCAGAAAAAAATTCTGAGTCGCTGAGTTGTTAAAAAAAAACTTTTTGTTAATTTTTATTATGTCTTTAGACATAATAAAAATTAACGATCTCCCCCTTTTGTCTGGGAATGATGACTCACCTTTCTAAAAATAGACCATAGCTCATTGTTCTTCTTGGAATTCTATTTTTAGAAAGGATGAGTCATGATCTATTTTTAGAAAGGGTGAGACTTCATCCTTAACAAAAAGTTTTTTTTTTTTTTTTTTTTTTTTTTTTTTACACTCAGAATTTTTTCTGAGCTCTGAGAATTCTTTCCCAGTCGACAGCCAAGACGATTTGGCTTTTTACTTTCACTTTCAATTCCTCACTTATCTATAAAAACATTCCGCCTTTCAGTGCAGATCCGTGCTGGCTGTTCAAGAGGCAACACATCTCTCTCTCTCTACTCAATCTGGATCCAGGATGCTTTTCAGAGGAAATTCTTTTTAGGAATTGTTTACAACTTCTGAACCTTAGATGAGTTGGATGTCAATTGCTCGCTTATTTATAAAAGCATTCCGCGTTTCAATGCAGATCCGTGCTGGCTATTGAAGAGACGACACGTCTCTACTCAATCTGGACCC